AAAAAAAAAAAAAAAAAAAAAAATTTAAGGTTTGTGGAAAGCACTAGGCCACCCCACTTCTGGGAATGTAAGTCAACTGACCTGAAGCTTACAAGGCTGCTGCCTAGAGATATATAATGTGGTCAGTTCATACAACTATATAAGAGACCAAATTAAAAACCTCAGAGAAGACTGAAACAGATAAATTTAACATACTAATATTATTGCTACACAGGAACAGGATTAGAACTGGATTTTTAGGTGTTTGCTTTCAGTCTTACCTAGAATCAAATTCACTTGGATCAGGAAAGAATACTTCCCTAGCTCAGAATGGTAGAGTTGCTAAAATGAGATATAGTTTTCTTTCTTTCCTTTTTTTAGTCTCACCTGCCCTCTCCCCAGCCTCCACTTACCTCCTCTAAGCACTTCAGCATTAATGGATTGGCTCAGGCCCATATCCACATAATTGTGAGATTAAAGGCCCGTGTGGAGGAAAACCAAATTTATAAATTTGTATCCCACTAAGTCTGAATTTGGTAGCTCACCTTTGCTCTCTTACAGAAGATGCTATTCTATGTTTTTGGCAATGGAGTCTCTATCTTGAACTCCTAAGCTCAAGCAATCCACCCACTCCAGCCTCCTAAGAGTGCTAGAACTATATGTGAGTACCCAGCCACTGTTTTATGTTTTTAAGAAAAGAATCTTCAAGGATGTTATCTTATTATTTGCAAAGTGTTCTTTAAAATGGGTCATTTGGCTCGGCGCCTGTGGCTCAAGTGGCTAAGGTGCCAGCCAAATACACCTGGGATGGTGGGTTCGAATCCAGCCCAGGCCCATCAAGCAACAATGATGGCTACAACCAAAAAATAGCCAGGCATTGGGGTGGGTGCCTGTGGTCCCAGCTACTTGGGAGACTGAGGCAGGAGACTCACTTGAGCCCAGGAGTTGGAGGTTGCTGTGAGCTGTGACGCCATGGCATTCTACCCAGAGGGACAGCTTGAGGCTCTGTCTCAAAAAAATAAAATAAAATAAAATGGGTCATTTGAGGCTGGGCTCAGTGGCTCATGCTTATAATCC